CATCATCGTCGTCCTCCCACGCCATCGCGCCAGGTGTTCATTTCCGGATAATAACATTATTCGGATGTTTTACAGTTTTACAGCTGGTGTTGACAAAAATCAAAATACAGGAACTGTAAAACGGTATTTTACAGTCTGATTATACAGTCGCACCGGTGGGGATGCCCTTATACGGAGTACTCAATTTGACTAACTGTAAACTAAAAGTTCGTTCGATTCGATTGTCCAATGTAAACAAATATAAGATGTCACAGTATATATAAGCAATCAAAGGATATAGAATTTAAACGACCAGTCAACTGTCGACCACGTCGTCACAAGGTGCACACTCCGCAATGTCAACATCCTGACCACCAAGTAAGCTCAGAAACGTTCCAGTGCTGATCAAGGTGGCGCAGCAAGGTCATGTGAGGTATATCGTGCAGTTTCGCGGCGGCAGCAATGCTGGAGCCATTGTCACTGGCTTCGATCGCGGCTTCCATAGCGGCCATATCGTATTGCTTGCGTTTTGAGCTCATGATGTCAAATGCAAAAGTGATGAGTGATATTATGAGCTTCAGATTTTCGCGCCATGGTGCCGCGCCTCCGCTATTGTTCGGATAATTGATTCTCTTTGAATTTATTTCTGTGTGCAATATTGGTTACAAAAGTGTTTCAGTATTAGTGTAAGTTGAACTTGATTTTGATTGGCTGGTGCACCCCGTCCATAAATTGGCGCATGCCCATAAATTGACTCGTTACGTTATGTCAAAGAGTTGCACCGAACACGATTGGAACTCTGCCACCCAAATGCCGAAAAATTACAAGAACACTGGCATTCTATTGGCCACATCCTGGTCATTGGACTATATCATTGGTCTACATTGGTTTTTGCTCATTTTTATTGGCTCCACTATCTATGACTGCTCTTTGTAGGCATTTTGACAGCGAAGTACAATGCTAATCAAGTATTCTGACCGAAAAGTTGCAGCACGTCATGCACGAAAATCGGCCATGTAACGTTAGACGCTTTCTTGGCGGCGATTGCGCCGGGTTTACAGAATACGACGCGTTCCGCTGCAAGCGTAGTGCGCGATTATAGCGTGATCCTAGACGAAGATGACATGTAGCTACATATCATATAACTTTACTGGAGGGCAAGATATCCACTTCACAATTCAAGGTCCATTCGATGGTACAGCGACTTCGTAGCGGGTTTTGACGAACATATTCAGTTGTGCAAGGAGATATACAAGTACCGACTTCTACAAGGATGAGATACAAGTAACTGCGTGTGCTAAGTTTACGTAGCTTTTGTCAGTTGCATATACATCAGTTGTTGGCTCAGCGAGTGCGGAGCCCATTCAGCGCTGCAGGAATATAATTTATCTCCCACGAAGATGAATACGGTCTTAACTGGTTAAATAGTTGGCGAAGAAGCACCATGTGATGGGCCACTTGATCACATGTGGTCACGGCTGCGACTTTCCTTCCATCACTGTCAGTACTTCCGTCCTTCCCAGTACTCGGAGTTTAGATTAATCACCCCGAAACCCCGGAAACCCCAAACTCCGAGTACATGAACACAAAGTATTTCTGAAAAGCAGAATACCAAGCAATCCCTCCAAGAAACCATCAAAATCGATTTTGAATTCGCAAGGTGACCTGCCTTGCGAATTCCAAAAAGAGACAGACACATGAAAAAGAAATCATCAATACAAACTTGAAGATATATTTTATTGAAACTATACAATTTCAGAATTATTTATGGAATTCGCAAGGTGGTTCACCCTGCGCTTCATACAAAATTGCCTATTTCACCTTGCTTTTTCTGGTTAATGATCATATATTGATCCCATTCGAAGAAAAAGTAGGCCTTGCATTGTATTTCAGTCTACGACAAAGTTTTGCCGAGGGCAAATGGTGGCTCGAAGTAAACTGCGCACGATTGAATCATGGCCACCAGGCTTCAATCACTCATGCGTTGTGTGCTGGAAGACTATGCTGCTAACGTTACCCTATATTTAGACCAGCTATGGCCATCGCCAACAAACTCACCGACAATAATTTGACAGTTGACACCCTCAACTTCCCAGGGCATGACTGAATTTGGGATTCACCCTGTTCTGTTAGAGTACATCCCCACTGACCTGCCAGTCAGTTAGCAGTGTCTGCAAGCTGTGTAGGAGGTTTTTGTGCCTTTTAGCGTCTTTTACTCCGGTAGAAGTCAGCACAGACATCTGGTCACCGAACATCAATCATAGGATGTTGTGGCCAATCACAGTCTAAGTAGTTTTAATTGGCTGTTTCTTTGCAGTCAGAAGTAATTCACCTCCAGTCTGCTGCTCACTACCGTAGTCCTACTGCACTCGAATAAAGTTATCGTAGTCAATTAACCCGAACGTGTAGGGAGAGTCCAATACTTTAATCAAGTGTATTCTTTAGTATACTTGACTTTGCCAACCTGCGATGAGCAGGTTGACAGAGCAAATAATAAAATGAAAAATGCCAAAAGTCATTGTATTTGCATCAACTAGAAAACTAGTGTAGGGTTCTGCGATTCGCAGGGTGGCAGGAGCCAATCAGAAAAAGACAAATATTTCTTTTTCCGCAGAGATCTATAAAATTTGTCAACGTCTGTAATGGAACAGATGGATGGTTCATCCAATGAAAACAGTTATGTATACCTTAACCAGTATGTAGAGTGCAACAGTCTTCCTTCTTGCTGATTGGCTCAAAGTTTGAATTTTAAATTTTGTTCAAGGAAGTTCTCTCACTTTCGAATTTGCCAGCAACCAAGCAAGTGGTTCCGATCTGCCGCTTTGCGCCGTTGACGCCAAGGTATGTGTACAGTGTGTGTGATGTCTTATATATTCTACAGGTCCTTGTGAGCAGCCGCCGTCCTGACTTCCCCGCCGTCGCGACTACCCCGCCATCCCGACTCCCACGACACCATCGACTCCGTGTGCATTCGCGACCCATTGTTTGAAGATATGCCCAAATCTTTGCCGCGACCCCGCTTCCGAAGCCGCCGTCCCGACCTTTGCCGTCGCCGTCTCCGTGTGCATTTGTGACCTATGTGTTGAAGTCGACCGGAGGCTATGTCCAAACCTTTGACGTTGCAGCCGTTGCGATCTTGCAATCAAGTTGAATAAGCGATGGGATAAAAGTTCGTCGTCATTGGTGGGTTTTACTCTGTACGGCACCCTATTTGGCCGGGAACTTTTAATGGTAGCCATTTTGCAATTTGCGGTGTCATGGAAACGTGTTCAGTGTGCGGCGCCAACGAAGGTCCAACCCTCCGACAGTACAACATGTGTTCGTCCAAGTTCCATTATATGTGCATCGTGAAAGAAGCCGAGAAGAACGGGTGGCCTGAAGCAGAAGAAGGTCAAGAACTGTGTGCTTTCGATGCGCTGTCATCATCAGCGCAAGACGTACCGCCACATGCGAAGAAGAAAGGATGTCTGAAGGGAGCGAAGAACAAGGTGAAGGTGAAAGATGTGCAAGGCGAGTCTACACCAAAGAAGCGTGGGCGGCCACCGAAGTAGTCGTCAAGTGTCAACATGCCGTCAACGCCGTCAGAGGTGGACGTCACGCCCGGGATATCCGAGTTTACACCAGACCACAAGTCCATTCGATTCGAGACAATGACTCGGAACGTGTGGTTGAGGCCGCTACGAGAGACGCAAATTCACAAGAACTACAAGAAGCTGCTTGCCTTCTACGCGGATTGTCAAGATTTCATGCGAAGTGGTGTGGTCACCGAAGTGCGCTACGTTGTTGGCAGCGAGAACGATCCCGACATCGACACACCGGGCAAGAACACGAAAGCCGAGGCCAATGCGATGGTGGTATTGTACAAGATCACTTGGAATCACACACGGTTTCAGCGCGACGAGCCGTGGATTACTGCGCGCCTGTTTTACAAAGGTGTATTGCGTGTACATGTATCTTTCTTATGCATTCTAGGTGTGGAACA